GGACAGAGGCTCCTGTGCATTTGCATCTGAACTGAACGTCATAAACCGACAACATATTATTTACCAACTTAAAAAGGGGCACATACATAAACACTCAATAAAACGTTAGTATGCATATCTGTCGATAACATACTGTACACCCGCCAGCATGCGTTAAAGTGATTTACGAAACATCCTCCGCTCATTAAAAGTTCAGTTGCACTAGCGAACCAGAGAAGTTCTTTCCAGAAGAAAATTATGTTTTATTCATCTGAGAAAGAATCGTGTGGGAATATGATGAACATAATTTTACTGTCAGACATTATCAGCGTCTTCACTCCGATCTCTCTGTTATGGAAGCCCGTTTCCGCCACTGAATAAAAAATAAAACAAGGTAATTGCGACTTTTTATCTCACAATTGCGAGTTCATGTCTTGCAATTTTGACTTTAAACTCGCAATTCTGACTTCATAACTCACAATTTTGACTTTATAACTCACAATTGCGAGTTTATCACGCAATTTTGACTTTATAACTTGCAATTTTGACTATAACTCGCAATTCTGACTTTATAACACGCAATTGACTTTATAACTCGCAATTCTGACTTTATAACATGCAATTCTGACTTTATAACATGCAATTTTGACTTTATAACATGCAATTTTGACTTAATAACTCGCAATTTTGACTTTATAACTCGCAATTTTGACTTTATAACACGCAATTTTGACTTTTTAACTCGCAATTGTGAGTTTATATCACACAATTCTGAGAGAAAAAAAAAGTCGCAATAACCTTGTTTTGTTTTTTATTTAGTGGCGGAAACGGGCTTCCATACTCTGCTGGCCATTAGTAACACTAGCATTTCTGAACCGCAGGACGGCCCTGTTTCACCAGGCCTGTTAGCTATTACTGTAGATTAGGGCGGGCTGTCAAAAAAGAAATCGAATTTCGAATATTCGTCGAATTTAAAATAAAAATCCACATTCTAATGCAAAAACGTTGCATTCGAATTTTAGGTGTGCGTCGGGCAGCATTATCAGCGGCGCACGAGATGCGATGACGATGTAAGTGACGATGTATTTTAATGTTTATGTTAGCCTGTCCAGTTGAAGCCACTAGATGCGGCGCTGCTGCGTTGTTAATTACAAATATAGCGGAAAAAGAGAACAATCAATAAAGAAAGATGTTGTTTACGTCAAAACTGAAACCAAGCCGTTCACACAGAACACATATTTATCGCATTTTTTAGATGGACATCTATCACCTTTGCAGTCGCATCTCGCACAAGAGAGCCGCATGTTTAGAAAGCCATGTAAAATTAATGTAAGTTCAACTTTGAAAAGACTTATCTCGAGACTTTATGGCGGGGTATTTCCCCATCCCACTGCATCTCGTGTTTTTAAATGAAGAAAGTACTCTTTGTGATTGGTTTTCGGTCCTTTGTATTAAACTATGCATACATACATGATGCTGTTTTGTTTCTAATTGTTTAAGCAACATTTTTAATTATGGTTTATAAACATTATTTTAAACTATGCACCTTTTTCAAAGATAGTCGTGTTATTTTATTATGCTTTGCAGAAACGTGCATTAGTAATATTTTGCTCGATGCGCCCTCTTGTGGCCTCAGGAGAGAAGCCAAAAGCTTTTCTTCACCCTAACTGAAATTATGCATTTTAAATTTGAATATAATTTGAATATTGATCATATTTAAGTAAAAAATTTGAATTCAGTTTTTCAGCCATTTTGACAGCCCTACTGTAGATTGGCCGTATAGTTTTAGTTCAGTTTGTTTGCCCAGGGGAAATGAAAGACAGCACATCCCTTTATGACTCTGGACCAGCTGCTTAACCAGTTTAAACTAGACTCAGACTAGCTAGACTAGTGTTTAACAGGTTTAACTGGTCAGCCAGCTGTGAACTGCGAAAATAAGGCATGTTTTATTTTTTCTTACAGCAATTTGATGCTTAGTATACTTACTAAGCATAAACACAGTCATTTTAATACTTACAATGTCCAAGTTACACGATCTTATTTTTTTATTTTTTTATATACTTTAATTCATCAAGGATGCATTAAATTGATCAAAAGTGACAGTATAGACATTTATAATATTGCAAAAGGTTTCTATTTCAAATAAATGCTGTTCTTTTAAACTTTCTATTCATCAAAGCATCCTGAAAAATAAAATGTATCACGGTTTCCACAAAAATATTGTGCAGCACATCAATGTCTTCAACATTGATAATAATCAGAAATGTTTCTCGAGCAGCAGATCAGCATATTATACTGATTTCTGAAGATCATGTGACACTGAAGACTGGAGGAATGATGCTGAAAATACAGCTGCACATCACAGAAATACATTACAGTTTAACAGAGATTCAGATAGAAAACAGTTATTTTAAATTGTAATAATATTTCAAAATATTAGTTTTTACTGAATTTTTATCAAATAAATGGTGAGCACAAAAGACTTCAAAAAACATAAAAAAAATATTACTGACCCCAAACGTTTGAATAGTAGTGTATGTGAATCTAATTACAATACCCCTAACAATAACTATGTGGAAGATGCTCCAAAAAATCATTTAAAAAAGCGTGTTGTTCACTTATATTCACTATTTTGAATATTATTTAATAAACTATGTATTATATAAATACGAAATGAATATTTATATATTATATTATTATTATATTATATATTTATATATCATTTTTATTATTATTTCACCTGATAAACCTGTTCATTTTATTTAATAAAACAGGAATTGTGCTATGCATTTGATCGTGCAGCACTGATGAAAGTAAACACGTTCTGATATCTGAGTTGCATCAGGTGATCAACAGCTGTTTTCAGTCATCAGACCAGATCATGCATCAATCATCCCGATGAGGCGCTCAAAAACATATCATATAATAGATAAGAAAGCGACTGATAGTGGCAGCTCTTTTATGTCAGCTCCTGTGAGATTGCCATCTATCTCGCAGCCGAGAGTCATCCAAATCAATCCAAAACCTTGCCCAAGTCAAAGAGCGTGGAGTACTTTATGATCTCTCTGTAAGCACACTGTGTTACTTTCATTAATGTCAGTTTTGTTTTGGTCTCATCCTGCATGGAAAGGATCCCCTCGCACACCCAGTGAACACCCAGCTGAATGGGTGCGGTGCGGTACGCCAAAGCCTTTGATTCCCACACAACAGACCTCATCCAATCAAACACACAAAAGCACAAAGGCTTTTATCTCATATCAGGAGCTCTGTCATCATTTCTCCCTCAGTCCATCGTTACGCATTAAACAGCCCTTGCTAACGCTGCGAGAAATCTCAGAAAGCTGCCCAAATGTGCCTTCATGCACCTCATATACAGTAGAGCACATTTTCCACCGGACATTCATTCCTACTGACATTCCGACTTTTAAAAGCACAGTTTTCATGCGATAAAAAATTGCAACATCTTCTGTACAAACACACAAGCTGAATTCAGAATAACTGCTTACTTTTTCTGCAATATAACTAAACTATGTGTGTGTGTGTGTGCATATTATATGCATATGTATGCATATTTTGCAAGATACAAAAATATGTTGTTTCTATAATCAACCATTTTAAATAAATAGTTTTATACTTCTCCATTGGTTTAAATTTGATTGTCATTTGCAATGCTTTTTGGAATTGTAGTTCTTTTCCTCATTAAAGCTGTTAAGCACTGAGTCTTGAACCTTTGTCTTTTTGTCCAATTAATTTTTACTTCAAATCAAAGTTTGTAATGCTGTATTAAACTTACAGCGGATTAGTTTGGGTTTTGGCTTATAACGCTTTAACAAAATCTTCTTCCTAAATCTAATCTAAATCCCTATGATAAAAATGAATGGAAAAAATACCTCTGAAAGCAACGGCGCTGAAAACGCACTCTATTTTTACTCATCTGGTTCTGGCCAGTATGACAGTGGACCTTATAGTGACCTGTCTGTGTGGATGTCTTATCACACTCACAAAAAAAAGTTTATTTCTATAGAGCTGTATTTGCAGGTATGTTTGTCACCCAGGAACATGAGCAAATAAAAGAGTCTGATTTCTAGCAGAACACTATAGAATCAGAAGTGTGCAGTCATTTTGCAAACTACATACATACAAACAAATAGGCCTAATATAATATGCTCATTATAATTAGTAGGTACTGTGGCAGTCTAAAAAGTGCAGCATTTTGCCATTAACAATAACGCAACAACTTTATGTATGGAAAGCTGTTTCTGCCATGGGATTAAAAAATAAAAAAGTTAATTGCAAAATATAAACTGAGATATATATTGCTAGATATAAACTCACAACTGTGAGAAAAAGATATAAACTCAGAATTTTGTATTTTTCTTGAAAACTGCATGAAAAAAAGTCTGAATTGCAAGTTAGAGCATCCTAATTACCATTTTCATTCATTCATTCCTTTATTTATTTTTATTTATCCTGTGCTGGAAACAAGCTTCCATACATTGTGTTATCAAGCCTCAGTCATTAAAAAGTCACACAAAAAGTGAATCAAACCTGTGAACAAACACAGCTTAAGACATAAATCTACTAAGAAAACATGATAGCTTCTGCTGCATGCTGGTAATGGCATAACCCAAACCTGACGTTATGTGTATGGATGTGTGTGTGTGTGTGTGTGTATTTGTGTGCCGCCCTCTCAGGTTACAGTAAAAAGAAGGTTTGATTTCTTTAGAGAACAATGAAAATAAACTCCACCCTAGAAAGTGAAGGGCAGATAATCTAATGGAATAATGTACCTGGCCGCTCTTTAGCGGATGAGATGTTTATGACCCGGTTTTCAAAGACTGCTGTGAGACCAAAGGCCTTGAACCTGTATGTGCTGGAGAATAATATCCATCTCTACAAAAGAGCCCTACCACACCCTCCCTCAGCAGTCAACACTCGCTTACACCCAGAACTACAGCGGATTACAGAGAATAGTCTATGAAAGCTGCCACCTTTGAGTGTTTTCTGAGCTCAGTGGAGTGTAAAATGGAGCTGAGGGTTGTTTTCTAGGGCTTATGAGAGTCGTGGTGTGTAATACTTGTGGTAGAGACATCTACAGCTCTGCTGCATGTTGTTCCAGCTCATCAGGACATGAAGGGAAAAGTGCTGCAACTCACCTGGAAAAGACAAACACACAAAGAAAAATGACATTAGTTCACAGCCTGTGGATATATGGCATCTAATTACAACAGATTCAACAGTGAGATCCACTGTACAGGACGTCGGTGCCAGCACACAGACCTCAGGGGAAAATACATATCCATGTCACAGACACAGAGAGATTTCAATGTATTACAACAGTACGAAACCACACAAGCCTTTCAGTGCAGAACAAATGTGTTTTCAAACACTGCCACCTGCTGAGCGTTGAGTGTTACTGAGCGCACAGACAGATGAGGGACTGCTCGACACTCATATAGATCTATTACATTTTATCAAACAGCTATGATTATGTCAGAAACAATGACTATCCATGTGTGCCTATAATGTTTCTGATGTCTCTTCTGCTCATCAAGGCTGCATTTATTTGATTAAAAATACAGGAAAAATGGCAATACTGTGAAATATTATTACAATTTCAAATAACAGTTGTCTGTGTGAATATCTGTTAAACTGTAATGTATTTCTGTGATGCGCAGCTGTATTTTCAGCATCATTACTCCAGTCTTCAGTGTCACATGATCTTCAGAAATCAGTATAATATGCTGATTTGCTGCTTAAGAAACATTTCTGATTATTATCAATGTTGAGAACAGTTGTGCTGCACAATATTATTGTGGAAACTGTGATATAATTTATTTTTCAGGATTCTTTGATGGACAGACAGCTCAAAAGAACAGCATTTATTTGAAACGGAATTTTTGTTTTGTCACATCATACATCATTGCTGTCACTTTTGATCAATTGAATGCATCTTTGCTGAATATAATTGAAAGTGTTAATAAAAATCCCCAAATTGTTGAACATATTACAAACACGTCCTAACCAACATAGATGCTTATATAGTACATCTATACAATAACTGTTGCATAAAAGCTTAAAGCATGTAATGTACTCTCTAAGTATTATTTCTGCACGTAATACAGATAAACTGTAATTTACTGTCATTTAAAACAAATTCATATGTAGCTGTGCTAGTAATGTCTCTTGTACTATTTAATGCCTCATTCTCACATAAGATAATCATAAATTCATATTTCATTTACTTCTTTTTGTTAGCCATGTAGCCACATTCGACTGACTGTATATTATCCTACATGTTTTAATCTTTCCTTATGTACTCTATTGTGCACAGAAACACCCTTAAATACTGAAAAATTCTTCTGTACCCATGACAGCTGGACAGAAGACAACTCTTAGGCATGTTTTGGTCAAAGGACAACAGACGGGAGACTACAGTAACAGACATGGAAGGTCATAGAGGGACATCTAAATGGTGAGCTGGCAGTGGCATTAAACACAAGACCTTTCCTCTGAATATTTCCATAAGCTCACAGAGCTTGACACGACGGCGAGTGAATGCCAGAGAGCTCTGGGCTCAGAGTGAGAAGTCAGAGCAGAACAGAGCTTCAGTCAGAAGCAGACGCTCACGCTGGCAGTTATAGAGGCTCTTTTAACGGACGATTCATTCCCGAAAATGCCACACAACCACAGAACAGAGAGTTCAGCTGTAATGATTCTGGTCATTTTCTTATAAACAGCATTCATTATAGGCCTAGCGTGTGAGAGTGTGTGAGGTCATACAGTATGTGTGTGAGGGTTTGCACGTGTCCACGTGTTTAAATGGATCACCGGAGATCACCAGCAGTCAAACGTCTGCACTCACACTGATCAAGCCATCAAAGTCATCTATGAGGATCGTTTAGTGAGCAATAAAACATGCAATAAAATCCAAACTCTCTTATGTTTGAGCTGCTGCTTTGTCTATCCAGCTCTGCTCAGTCCAGACATTCATCAACTGTTATTAAATGTCAAACAGTAGAGCAACACCAAGGTCATGGGTTCGCTTTCCAGAGAAGGCAAGGACTGATTAAAAAATGTGCTCCTGTGCAATGCAAGTCACTTTGGATAAAAGTGTCTGCCGAATGCATAAATATTAAATGTTAACACAATTGAAGGAAGAAGGTGTATGATGAGCATGTGATGCTGATTTTACTTCATTATTTGCTCCAAATCATCAATTAATTACTAATTTAATTAAACAATTAAGCTGCTACTGTATGTAAAACTTAATTTTGTCAACAAAGATATTTAAGCAGACGCCTTTAGATTAAAAGGTTTTCAAAATCACGAGAAATGTGAAATCTGACTGGCAGTGTATGCACACAAATATATAAGCCTAAATTTAAGATTTATGCATTTGAATTGCACATAAAATCTCCAAACAAACTAATAAGCTTAACGTGATGCATATCTGTCAGTCATACATAAATGGAACAGGTTTCAGCACTACATTATTATTAACTATTTGTATCTAATTGATTTTATTTCCAAAAAGCATTTATATGCATTAAAGGGGTCATATGATGCGATTTCAAGTTTTCCTTTCTCTTTGGGGTGTTACAAGCTGTTCGTGAATAGATAAGATCCCTAAAGTTGCAAAGACTAAAGTCTCAAATCCAAAGAGATATTCTTTATCAAAGTTAAGAGTCAACCATGCCCTCCTAAAACGCCTCATTTAAACACGCCCCCACATATCTATGTCACTATGTGGGAAGATTTGCATAACGCCGCCCAAATGTTCACGCAAAGAAAGAAGGTGTAACTTTTATTCTCACTGTTGTATTGTTGCTGCCGCCGCCGCCATGTCGTGAAGACGCTGTGCTTCGTTGCAAAAGCAAAACTACTTTGTTTGGTCTTCCAAAAGAGGACACGACTAGAAATCAGTGTTAAGTTGTATTTACAACACTGTTCCAGAACATCCGTCACACGCTTGAGGTATTCGGCCAATCACAATGCACTGGATAGCTGGCCAATCACAGCACACCTCGCTTTTCAGAACGATGAGTTTTGTAAAAATCGACGTGTTTCAGAAAGGCGGGGCATAGAGGAGAAACAACAATGTACCGTATGTGGAAAATAATGTGTTTTTTGAACCTTAAACCGCATAAACACATTTCATTACACCAAATACACAAAATAATGTTCTTTTTAGCAACACCATATGACCCCTTTAATCGGCATAAATCTGTTTATCGCGAAAATTAAACTAATTCGGTTAAAAAGTATGAAGATGGTTAAAATACAGCTAGATATTTATGAAACAAGCAATTTTCAATTAGTTGAAATATATTAGATTGAAACAAATTGGATTTATTGACGATAAATATATATCGTGTATTTAAAAAACATTAATTTTATTAGTACTAATGCAGAAATTTGACTGAAAAATATGCATCACATTAAGTTTATTAGTTTGTTTATGCTAAAACTGAGTTATGGATCCAAATGGATGGAAGTATTATATGCAATTCAAATGCATTAATATAAAAAAAATAAATAAAATACATATTGCATTTATTTTATTTTATTATTTTGTGAGGTATTTTTAATTTGCATCTATTATGTGCACAAATATGGCCTGAATAAAAAATTATAATAATAAAAAAGGATAGGTCAAAAATCTATTTCAAATAAATTAGGGTTAGGGTTAGTTTAAGTTAGGGTTAGGACCAAATGTCCTAAACATTAAACAAGAGCACTGCAGAGAGCAATCACATTCAGTCAAAGGTCAGATGTGTCATTTCTGCATCGCAATACATTATTACAAAATAATGAGTGTTTAATGAATGTTTCCTATTTTAACGTCGCTGCTTTAAGACACAGAGCAAGTGATGTGATGGTCAAAGAGACTATAAAGAAATAAAACCATACTATATTATAAACCCTGTCATTCATTAACACTATCCGAAGTTTTAATCCTGCTATCTTTAGAGACTCAATAAACGAATAAACACAGTTACAACACCCGCAAACCATGAGAACGGGGGTGAAAACAGAGCCCAGTCCTGCTAGAGCAGCTCGTTTAATCACTGCACCGTTTCCCATCTCGCGGATATTTCACACAATTACAATGAGAGCCGCTCTCTTCACAAAGCACTCAGTGATGCTGCTGTAATTATTATGTTGTCCTTTCTCCTACCGTAGAGTTATAATCTAAGCATTACATTACTCAGGAATGTGTCATTTACTTTGGATTACAATCTCAGAAAAAATGAATGACTCTAGAGCATTACTGATCACAGTAAATGTTTTTGTTGTGTCTGTATACAGTGCGATTTACAGAGGTCACATTAACAATGGATTATATTCAAGATTGGCATATTCAACACTGAGTTTCCATGCAACACATATTTAAAGGGTTCGGAGCACTTTAAAGGTGGCAAGAAAACACTGAGATATCAATTTAATGAAACAGCTAAGTAAAAATAAACATAGATCAGTGATCTGAATGACTTTGTTTTAGTACATAGAACACAAAAGACACGTTCTGCATCGTATTTTTGAAGGAAGTCTCTTCTGCTCACCAAGACTACATTTATTTGATCAAAGATACAGGGGGAAAAAACTTTCTAAAACTAGTAAAATTCTGAAATATTATTACAGTTTAAAACAGCTGTTTTATATGTGAATATATGTTAAAATGTAATTTTTTCCTGTGATCAAAGCTGGATTTCCAGCATCATTACTCCATCACATGATCTTCAGAAATCAGTATAATATGCTGATTTGCTGCTCAAGAAACATTTCTGATTATTATCAATGTTGAAATAAACATTTCTGTAACATTATAAATGTCTTTACCTGTCACTTTTGATCAATGTAATGCATCCCTGCTGAATAAAAGTGTTAAATGTCTTTAAAATAAATAAATAAATAAATCTTTAGGTCTTTGCACACTCACAGTCCGAAATTCTCGTACGCTAAAAAATAAATGCGACCTCACATTGTGTCAACCACGTTTACACACTGCCTCCGAAACTTTCGCCCGTCATAAATAATTCAGACCAGGTTCGATTTTCAGTGTTTTCACATCCATACCAAGCGTGATGAATACAGAAAAAAAAAACGCATACGAAAATTTCGGACTTAGTGTGCAAGGACCTTTACTGACCCC